TTAATTAAATTATTATAAGAAAAGACACCAGAGGCCCCAAAGCACTTTCAATTTTTTTCTAAACAGGAATCCCTAGAACCTCCAGATTATTTTGAGCCACCTGTATAAGCAAATCTAAAAAATATGAATGCAATGATAAATCACAAGTAAAAACTCACCATATTTTGCACATTGTGGTGACCGAATTTGAATTAGAAAAAAAAAATCAATCAAGAAAATCGTTAAACATAGGCAACCAGGTGCATGTTTAGTTTTTTTCTGGTAGATAGTAGTTCTACTAGGGAATTTTATTGAGAGAGTTGGTAAAAGTTGGCTGGCTTGGTAGATGAGTCATTCTGTTCGGTGGCGGTCACTTTTGGTGTGTTTGTTGGAGAGTAACCACATGGTGAGTTAGCTAGGTTAAGTTTAGCTGGTTTGGTGGTTAATAAAAAGAGAAAACCTTTGTTTGATGAAAATTAATCATGACGACGACGCCACAGTTTCCCCAACACGCGTAGCTAATTCTTGCGCTAACATGTGGTGTAAATTTGATTCATTGTTTGTAAATTCACAGTTCATGTTAGGATTTTAATCGTTAACTGGTTCAAACACAATTTAACAGTCAGGACACATCATATACTTAAGTGTTACATTACAACACTTTTTAATTCCTCACACAAGATTGCTAATAGTTCATTTACGGCAGTTAAATCAGTCTAACGTTTCCCCACTCTGGAAAAAGACCGTGAAAGTACGGTAGAATTCATAATATCGTGTTCAGATTAAGACTGATTTTGGTAAACGCCATAACCTCTGAGAACATAGAGGGCGGGTGGGCGGGGCTAGTACTTGCCAAGATAAGACTGATTTGGCAAATGCCATATCCTCTGAGAAAACAGAGGGCGGGTGGGCGGGGCTAATAGCTGCTACTATAAGACTAATTTTGGCTAATGAAACACCCTAGAAGAAATTTAATTAAATTATTATAAGAAAAGACACTAGAGGCCCCAAAGCACTTTCAAATTTTTTCCAAACAAGAATACCTAGAACCTCAAGATTATTTTGAGCCACCTGTATAAGCAAATCTAAAAAATATGAATGCAATGATAAATCACACGTAAAAACTCACCATATTTTGCACATTGTGGTGACCGAATTTGAATTAGAAAAAAAATCAATCAAGAAAATCGTTAAACATAGGCAACCAGGTGCATGTTTAGTTTTTTCCTGGTAGATAGTAGTTCTACTAGGGAATTTTATTGAGAGAGTTGGTAGAAGTTGGCTGGCTTGGTAGATGAGTCATTCTGTTCGGTGGCGGTCACTCTTCGTGTGTTTGTTATGAGAGTAACCACGTGGTGAGTTAGCTAGGTTAAGTTTAGCTGGTTTGGTAGTTAATAAAAAGAGAAAACCTTTGTTTAACAAAAATTAATTGTAACGACGACGACGCAACAGTTTCTCCAACACGCGTAGCTAATTCTTGCGCTAACATATGGTGTAAATTTGATTCACTGTTTGTAAATTCAAAGTTCATGTTAGGATTTTAATCGTTACCTGGTTCTAACACAATTTAACAGTCAGGAGTTGGCTTAGATATGGCGCTTGTTAGATTTCATGAAATTCATTAGTCAGGACACATACTTAAGTGTTACATTATAACACTGTTTAATTCCTCACACAAGATTGCTAATAGTTCATTTCCGGCAGTTAAATCAATCTAACGTTGCCCCACTCTGGAAAAAGACCGTGAAAGTACGGTAGAATTCATAATATCGTGTTCAGATTAAGACTGATTTTGGTAAACGCCATAACCTCTGAGAACATTGAGGGCGGGTGGGCGGGGCTAATAGCTTCTAAGATAAGACTGATTTTGGCTAATGAGACACCCTCTAAGAAATTTAATTAAATTATTATAAGAAAAGACACCAGAGGCCCCAAAGCACTTTCAATTTTTTTCCAAACAGGAATCCCTAGAACCTCAAGATTATTTTGAGCCACCTGTATAAGCAAATCTAAAAAAATGAATGCAATGATAAATCACAAGTAAAAACTCACCATATTTTGCACATTGTGGTGACCGAATTTGAATTAGAAAAAAAAAACAATCAAGAAAATCGTTAAACATAGGCAACCAGGTGCATGTTTAGTTTTTTCCTGGTAGATAGTAGTTCTACTAGGGAATTTTATTGAGAGAGTTGGTAGAAGTTGGCTGGCTTGGTAGATGAGTCATTCTGTTCGGTGGCGGTCACTCTTGGTGTGTTTGTTATGAGTAACCACGTGGTGAGTTAGCTAGGTTAAGTTTAGCTGGTTTGGTAGTTAATAAAAAGAGAAAAACTTTGTTTAACAAAAATTAATCGTAACGACGACGACGCCACAGTTTCTCCAACACGCGTACCTAATTCTTGCGCTAACATGTGGTGTAAATTTGATTCATTGTTTGTAAATTCATAGTTCATGTTAGGATTTTAATCGTTACCTGGTTCAAAGACAATTTAACGGTCAGGACACATCATATACTTAAGTGTTACATTATAACACTTCTTAAGTCCTCACACAAGATTGCTAATAGTTCGTTTACAACAGTTCAATCAATCTAACGTTGCCCCACTCTGGAAAAAGACCGTGAAAGTACGGTAGAATTCATAATATCGTGTTCAGATTAAGACTGATTTTGGTAAACGCCATAACCTCTGAGAACATAGAGGGCGGGTGGGCGGGGCTAGTACTTGCCAAGATAAGACTGATTTGGCAAATGCCATACCGTCTGAGAAAACAGAGGGCCGGTGGGCGGGGCTAATAGCTGCTACTATAAGACTAATTTTGGCTAATGAGACACCCTAGAAGAAATTTAATTAAATTATTATAAGAAAAGACACTAAAGGCCCCAAAGCACTTTCAAATTTTTTCCAAACAAGAATACCTAGAACCTCAAGATTATTTTGAGCCACCTGTATAAGCAAATCTAAAAAATATGAATGCAATGATAAATCACACGTAAAAACTCACCATATTTTGCACATTGTGGTGACCGAATTTGAATTAGAAAAAAAAAATCAATCAAGAAAATCGTTAAACATAGGCAACCAGGTGCATGTTTAGTTTTTTTCCTGGTAGATGGTAGTTCTGCTAGGGAATTTTAGTGAGGGTTGGTAGAAGTTGGCTGGCTTGGTAGATGAGTCATTCTGTTCGGTGGCGGTCACTCTTGGTGTGTTTGTTGGAGAGTAACCACATGGTGAGTTAGCTAGGTTAAGTTTAGCTGGTTTGGTAGTTAATAAAAAGAGAAAACCTTTGTTTAACGAAAATTAATCATGACGACGATGCCACAGTTTCCCCAACACGCGTAGCTAATTCTTGCCCTAACATGTGGTGTCAATTTGATTCACCGTTTGTAAATTCACAGTTCATGTTAGGATTTTCATCGTTAACTGGTTCTAACACAATTTAACAGTCAGGAGTTGGCTTAGATATGGCGCTTGTTAGATTTCATGAAATTCATCAGTCAGGACGCATCTTATACTTAAGTGTTACATTAAAAAACTTTTTAATTCTTCACACAAGATTGCTAATAGTTCATTTCCGGCAGTTAAATCAATCTAACGTTGCCCCACTCTGGAAAAAGACCGTGAAAAGTACGGTAGAATTCATAATATCGTGCACTTGCTCAGATAAGACTGATTTTAGTAAACGCCATACCATCTGAGAACATAGAGAGCGGGTGGGCGGGGCTAGTACTTGCAAAGGTAAAACTTACTTTTGCAAATGACATAAATTCTGAGAAAATAGAAGGCGGGTGGGGGGGCTAGCACTTGCTAACTTGTTAAATTTAAAAAGTGTTAAATTGCATATTTCCATTGTAACGAGTTAAATTCCTAAATCTGATTGGATATTTATTTTTTAACAACTCAGTCATTAATTTTTCTGAGACACCCTGTATAAGCAAGAATTTTCCAAAAATAGAATACCAAAGAAAAATTGTTTTAAATAATTTACACACACTGTGGCACTCCAGACTTTTTCAAATTCGTAAATCCGTCACTTTCCAGACACCCGGTATTTTTTATACCGTATGATTTTTGAAAAACGTAGAGCTAGTTTAATTATTTTTATACAAGTGTCACTGTCATTCGACAAATTGAGGTTAAGCTCATTGAACTATGTCTTTCACATTTTTTGTTTCCAGAACCTCCTATGTCCAATTTGAAAAATCATACGTTCATCAAGTTAACTTTGAAATTTGCCTCGTTATGATTATTGATTACTACTCGCCAAAGTCCCTAAATTAGTACTAAATTTAGAGACTTTTTGGTCACTCGTGGCTTGACAAGTAAATGTCAATCATAACCAAACTTTTTAAAACTGGAAATAAAAATGCTGCGACCGATTTTCCAAAGCCATCTTGATTCAATTTAATTTATTGAGGAAAAACCCAATTTACAATGAGATAAACCATATAAATAGAAAATATTGCGTAAATACAAAAGAAAAAATATACAACATTCACTAAAATTTTCCTAAATAATTGAAAATGAATTGAACATCCTTGAATTTAGTTCTATTACAAACAAATAATAAAAATTTCATTCACGCTATGTAAGAACACATAATGGAGAAGATCATCATCATAAATAAAACGTGTTCACGTCTACAAGGAGCCGCTGAATCCAAGAAAAAGTTTTCGTATTTTCAGTACAAAAACCTTGGACGCTTTTTATGGATTATCATTGTGGAAAATGCGGAAAAAATTACAGACAACAATGCGTAAAACGCTGTTATAATCTGCCATAGAAGAATAACGAAGAATGCAGTAAGGAGTGTGTAAAATTCAACATTACACACCGCTACACTGAAGAAGTTATTAAGTTTTGTTAGGTTACAAGGCATAATCACATCCAACTATATTTATTGGTGCTGCAATTTGCAGACCTTGTAACTTCACAATTCCGAATTTCAATGGCACAGTGGCAGCTTCTGAAACTCGTCTTCCCCCCATACTTTGAAATAATATTTTTTTTAGTAAACATGAATGGAGTAAAAGATTTTTTTATTATTGTCACCAGTCGGACACCTTTTACTACGTTTGTTTTAATTTGTCAACATATTAAATATCTTCTGATTTTGCTTATCGTCAGCACATCATACCAAAGCGTACACAAATGTGGCTTAAATACCACGCAGAATAAAATACTTAGCCAATTTAATCATAGGACTTTGATCTCTCGACACGTCAAACATTGCCATCGTAGCTTGAAGAAACACGGACATTGGAAATCTAGCAAAGCACAAAAGTAAGTTAAAACATCCAAAACAGCACAAAACGCACCTTTTAACAAAATAACCAAACTAACTAGTTCGCCCTACATGTGCAAAGGTCAACATAATACACACATTCATGACGACTGTCGCACAACATAACCACAAAATTACATTAAACATGCTTTGTGGGGCCCAAAAACCGTTTGAAACGCATTAAACAACCATTTAAACAAGAAAAATTAATTAGACATAGTTGACGTTTCACGGAAAATGGCAGCACAAAATCGCTACCAACATAACCGCTACCAACCCAAAGCGACAAAATTACTACTAATAATAATAACAAACTCAAACAATAATAAATTTGTGTAAATTTATTGAGACATCTTCAATTCAAATCTTCCACAATCTCCAACACACAGTCACAATGATCATAATAAATTAATTCTTCACACATTACTATACACCGTCTCTACGTTTCAAACCGCCTATTATTAGTCCGTTTTCGTTTCATTTGCTTCGAAACCACCACAAACACGATTAGTACGACCACCGCCCCCAGTAGCGCTAGACCAACGTACATGCCAATGGTCTCCATTGCGGGATTCGGTCCTTCTTGATTTTCTTCGACGTGTTCGTGCTTCGGAGGCAGCGGCGGTTCTGTATCCTCCTCCACGACTTTTTTATTCACAGTTTGAATAGTCGCAGTATTTAGGGCTTTCGGGTGAAGTTCGACGCGCTTGGTGGTCGTGGTGGTCTTAGGTGTTGTTACTATAACTTGCTCCACAGGCGCTGATTCTAGATACGACAACAAAGGGGCGAAGAAGTCCACAAGCGGGGTTGCTGATAAGTCGTAGAAGCCGTGGTTGTTGACTATCAAAAGAGGCCAGTCTGTGACAGATCGTTCATGCAGCATCGTTCTACGAAATCAAGCATTACAACGATGAATAAAATGTAACGAAAATGGGCTACCGGAAGTTTTCGTCGTTGGCTATGTTTTCAGCGATGGTTTGATTGGGGGTTTGCCAGTCGGGTTTGTAGTAGTCGAGGAATTGGAACTCGAGAATGGTCCCTAAGAACTTACTAAAGACCACAATTAAGGGTCCAGTGGTGTTAAATGTACTTACCTCAAGTAAGGTTTGTTGGATGTTATGAATGGGTCACTGAGGAAGTCGCTCTCGTTGTTGAAAACTCCCGCAACACCTTGATATTCTTTCCGAAAGTTCCACCACTGCTTTTCCATGTCGCTAAACCCGTTCTCTAACAACTGCAGTCTCCATTTATCCGCAGCTAAGTAGAACGGTAATTTCGGTAGAACCCTCAAAGCGATTAAAAGCAACTCCGTCATGTCGTTATTCTGCAAATCTGAGTCATGTTTTTCGAAGAGACTACGACCCCAGACTTTATTTCTTAAATTTTTGACACCCAAAACCGACCCGAGTCCTTTAACAGCCTCATCCACCACACAGTATCTTAAGTCGGATCGTGCTAAGTTCAAGTAGTCCATATTTCGTAAAGCCACGTCTATTGCAACCTCGAAAGCGTCCAAATACGACGACCAAGTGGTTTTATCACAAGTGAACAACCTAAATTATCATTGTTAAGAGTCGTGATTACAATAGACAAAACATACTCGGAGTGTTGTTCCACGCAGAAACTGAGCACGTGATTTTCGCAAATTGACATATTGAAGAGGCTGTTGGACCAAAAGTCGGACCCCAAACTTCCTAGAGAGAGATTCTGGGTGAGTTGTTCAGCCACTTTGTAGACGTTTTGGATTTTCTGAAACGTCGTTAGTGATTATCGCTTTTATCAACTAGAGTTATTACCGTTTTGTTTAAGTAGGCTTCCGCTAAGTAGTGTAATTGGGGGTGTGGTAGGACTATCGGGGCCACTGCACTCCAATCATCGCCAAAATTCGAACCTTCAAAATCAAATTTGAAACGAAAAACCAACAACAGAAAATCGTTGTACCTAATAAATACACCGGAATTTCTGAGTCGCTAGTGCTTATATTATAAAAACGAAATAGTCGTGTTTTTACAAACTCCTGCAACTTAAAATAAATTGGTTTTATTTCATTCCAAAGCTCGTCTGCTAATTGGTACGCATCCTCCTTATCCGCTAACATCTCCCAGTACGACTTTGGATCCTCCTTCCCTAGAAACACGTAACTCAAAAACGACAAAAACCAACCGAGATACAACCATTTCGAGCTGCAGCGTCACTCAACAGTTTCAACACCCCCGGAAACTCCGATTTTTTTCTAGCCAATAGGGTCTGCCACGCACTCCACCCTTTTTTCAACAAACTCTGATTCCTAGAACTTCTCAGAATCTCGCCATAACCTTAAACAAATATCGCATCGTGTAAAACCGGCTTAGTTCCAAATCTGTCACACACCTTTTTTCACTAGAACGCAACCTTGAGTCCCGTTCTTGCAATGAACCGCGGCTGTGTGCACCAGCTCGTCGGTGCCAACCTCATAATCCACAAGCTAAAATTACTGTTTGAATCATCGCTAAATTTAGTAAAATTCGTTAGTTCACCTACAGTACTCCAGTCTTTTTCCGGGAGTAGGGCGTCTCCGGGGTTGACTAGGAGGGTCCAGTTGCGCAGAAACTCCGGCGGGACGTCTTCTTCCAGAGGCTTCAAAGTTTCAGATACGGTTTTTAAAAGTTTGGCGCGCTTTTTTTGTACTTCGTTCTATAGATGAAGCGTTTTATTGTTATTTTAGTGGTTATTTTGGTGTACTAACCCTTTCGGTGTAATTGTTTGTAAGTAGGGACGATTTGTGCGCTATTGCTACGTTTTCACAATCGTCTTGTAATTCTAGGGTTGCGATTTCTAGTTCAGCTAGTATTTTTTCTAGGTACATGTCTTGAGCGGTGGTTGTTAGAAGAAAGGAGAGAAGGAGAAGAGGTTTTAGAAGTGACATTTTGAGCTGAAAATGAAGCAAAGCATGTTATTTTGACTATATTTGTTGATTTGAATTGTGCGGGAATTTACAATTTAGATTGACAGATTAACCTTGATTTTCAATGACGGATTATTGACGTTAATTTGACGTTTATAATTCTGAGAGGCGGCAAATTACGTAACATTGGTGCAGTAAGCGGCACATTCATCTCCTATATGAACATGCTCCTTTTTTTCCAAAGATTAAATAACAAATAACAACCTCGACAATTAAATTATCACTACAGATATTTTCAATAACACCCATTTAAGATAATCAAATTTGCAGCCGAGTATGTACAAAGCCCGATAAAATTAATACCAATACTCACCTATTTGGAAAAGAACTGTACACTTTGAACACAACGTGCAAATGTGTACAATCCTTTTCAGGAAAGTTTCATAATTCCAAATATGTACTCAAAAGCACGCAACACACAAAACTGACCCAATTCATTCTATATTTACCTTTCGCAACGTTTACTCTGTTATAGAAACGATAGGTTCAAGGTTACGCTTAAAATTTTAACGTAAATAGTATGCAAATTCTTAATAATTAAACCTCAAAAGGTAATCCATTAATACTTTCTTACATCAATAACGATATTTCACTTCCACGTGGGCGATTTTTTCCACCAACACTGCACACAAAACAATGAACTATTGTCACAAGTTAAACTGTTTTTACCACACAAGTGAATCACAATGCATATTTCATGAACTAGCGTGAACTTTGGGCAACGGTCACCACAACGATTGGTTTCGATGTGTCACTGATAAGATTTTTTCCGGTATCTGTGCACACTAACCTCGCCAATTAGCACTTGATTTTTGCTTTTTCACTGAAGTGTGGGTTCGTGATGAGGTAACCAACCTGATTGTGCATACATTGTTTTGAACAAATGGAGATGCAGTCAAGGATGAAGGTAAATGGAAGTTGTGAAAGATACCATGAGTGCATTGAAGAAGCCGCTACGTGATAAGTACTAAATAACCCACGTTATCATAATATGTTTGTGACATGTTTTTTAATATAGTTTCAGGTTATGACACTACTATTTACATAAATTTGATATGGAAGCAAGCAGCAAACAAAGCCGTGTTTTTATAAACACCCAACTGGATGGAGAAAAAGCGTCAATGACACTTGTATGCTACACCCTGTATATGCTCTCTAGACGCACCCTTACCCAGTTAAAAACCAAACTTTCACAAAAGGCTGATTATTGAAAAAATAGGTTTACAAAATTACTACATGACAACTATTTCCACTACATTTGAACACCTTACGTACCCGATTACAGTCTTGTTTATCAGTCTTAGACAATAAAGCCGTGTTTACCCGACAATAACGTCGCGTTTACCCCACTGAGGCACGGCGACATAAAACCATTTGTATCTGTAAATTGTATACGGGCGAAAAATGGGAGCTTTTTGTTCACCTGTGCCCCATAGGAAAATCTGCATGTCCACCTTACTGTTAGCTTGGTTTCCACTACCGGCCATCTGCAAAAAAACGCATTAAACGACTGTGTTGTCGACAATTACGTGACGTTTACCGTTATGGTGACGCCAAGACGGGCTTTAGTCACGCAGTGGGGATGATGGTAAAGTCTGCGAATTAGCCGCTAAATTGCGAATTGGCGGTGATCTGTGTGGCGAAAATTCAACCATGGTCAAAAATGGGTGGACTTTCATTGATGGGTTCGATTTTACTTACCGGTTTTTGGGCAAAATTGTGGTAGCTGGAATCAAGCGTCAGAAGGAAGAAAGCGAGAAGAACCGTTAGGTCGTGATGGTTGTGTGGGGTGTAGGGGGCGCTTAAGTGGTGGGGAAGTTCGCGTTTTAAAAATAGGTTTTGTTTGTGGGAATGCATTTTTTGTTAATGTTGTTTTAATGTTTAAAATGGAGATAATGGATGATAAAAATTCGCGGTTGGCGGGTATGCAACCAGTTAAACAAGTGCTTTTACGGGTGCTCTATACACAATTGAAATATATTTTAAAAGAAGAGTGGAAAAGTGTTAAATAAACAAGTTTATGAAAAAATAACAACGAAAGGAGAACAGTGCAGAAAAAAAAGTAATAAATGAAGGAACGTTTTTTTCCTAAATCATTTCTCTTTTTGTCCTAATATACATATAAAACAACAACATGCAAAAAATTGTAGTAAAAATCGAAAACGAATTAAAAAATTATGACCGATTTTAATTACCATGACCTCAAATAAGAACCGAGGAAAGTGGAAAGAAATTAAAATTAAATTATAAAACTAGTCTAAGGAAATTTGCCATATTAATAAAGAACGAGCATTCAGTTTCGGTTTTTAACCATAAAATCCGTTCTGCTTAACATCGCAGATAATATCTCAGTCCCAACCAACTCAGTCCCATTATCGCCCACCAGCGCGAAAAACTTCCATCTCATTCCAGTAAAAGTACCTCCGAATCAATTAAGTTGTAAACACCGAAAATTCATCATCCAAAAGTGAAATTATGCCCACCATCCGAAAACCTGTTTCCTTCAACTTTCTCCAATTTTTTCATTAATAAACACGAAAGAAGAACAAGTTGATTCTCATTCCGCGCCGATTCCATTATGTATATGTGTTTCGAGGTAACCGTACCTTATATTTTATTCATCCCGATAGCGGCTACGTTTTTCCACAACCCACCGCAATTTGGCACTTTCCAGTTTCATAATTCCGCTCCAACTAGTGCACGTTTATTAATCAAACGCAGTGAAAGTCGTTATGATAATAATTAATAATAATTGAACGGATGGCAGTATGGTAATTCGGTGGGTTTTTGCGGCGGAATGTTGGTACGCGCACGTGACTGTACACACACGTGCGAGGAATGGTGGACACTCCCCGAATCCACGAGAGTGACAGTACAATATGCAAATCGCGCTAATTAGAAACCGCGGATTGAATTTGCGGGCTCTGGTTTCTGCAACGTGCAGTGGAATTGCTGTTTTGCGAAAAATGGGGGCTGTTCGGGGCGAATTCCACACACCTGTGGCGCTTTCTCATCCCACTTGATTAATGCGAGGCAAAAGCACGCGAAGGATAGAATGGGGATTTTTTTCTCGGCGAGGTTAATCGCGCCTTGATGATACGCTGGGTCGTTAAAATTTATGGGTGTATATGGGTATCTGGGTGATGTGGTGCTGATTTGGTTTGACAGGTTGTTTCGTAATGGAGACGGTGTCGTAAAGATTGTTGAGTGGCACCGTTTGAGCAAAATTCATTTATTTGTGTCGAGTAAGAGCAGAGAATAGCGTTTTGTTTACTATTATGAATATGGAAAGTGGCGATCGTGTTCATGTTTTCAAGCAGTTTGCATGTGTTAATGAAATTCAGAAAATTTATCTTTATTGCTTGGAAGAATTTGTATGTTAATTTTGATCGTATTAACTGTATAAATAGTAATTAATGTGTTAACTAAAGGTGTAGCGATAACCAACACTTTGTATTCGTTTTACAAAACGCCAAGAAAAGGAGGGTTTGGAAAATCGTGCCGTGAATTGGTCATTGCGAATTTCGATTTGGAGCAGACGTTGTAAAAAGAAAAGATTTTTTTAACTGTACGCAGAAAAATTTTGTCTACGGTTAGCTCATCACTTTTGCCTTGAAAATTCATATAATAATAAAGTAAATCAATTTCTTCTTGAAAATTTTGACAGAATCTTAAAGAATCAGCATCTGTTTTGTTTTTGAAAGAATCTGTAAGAATCTCAGAGGCACTCATATAAGAATCTTGAGGGTTCTTTCTGGTTTAGTTTGGAAAGAATTTGAAAGACCTAACCTAACTTGATTTGATTTAACCTGCGATTTGTTTTTAAAAAAATTTGAATGAATCTCAGGCTCATCTGGTGTTTTATTTTTGAAAGTTTTAAAGAATCTCAGGGGCAGTTACTGTTTTATTTTTGAAAGAACTTGTAAGAATCTCAGAGGGGCTCGGTGATTTCGTGTTCAATGAATCATGAGGATTTCTGCTGCTTTATTTTTGAAAGTTTTAAAGAATCTCAGGAATCTCAAGACAGCCACTGATTTGTTTTTGAAAGAATTTGTAAGAATCTCAGGGACGCTCGAATAAGAATCTTGACAGCTCCTTCTACTTTAGTTTGGAAAGAACTTGAAAGATCTGACCCAACTTGATTTGATTTAATCTGCGATTTGTTTTTAAAAGAATTTGAAAGAATCTCAAGCTCACCTGGTGTTTTATTTTTGAATGTTTTAAAGAATCTCAGGAATCTCAGGGGCGGTCACTGTTTTGTTTTTGAAAGAACTTGTAAGAATCTCGGAGGGGCTCGGTGATTTCTTGTTTAACGAATCATGAGGGCTTCTACTGTTTTATTTTTGAAAGTTTTAAAGAATCTCAGGAATCTCAAGACAGCCACTGATTTGTTTTTGAAAGAATTTGTAAGAATCTCAGGGACGCTCGAATAAGAACCTTGACAGCTCCTTCTGCTTTAGTTTGGAAAGAATTTGAATGACCTGACCTAACTTGATTTGATTTAATCGGAGATTTATTCTTAAAAGAATTTGAAAGAATCTCAGGCTCAACTGGTGTTTAATTTTTGAAAGTTTTAAAGAATCTCAGGAATTTCAGGGGTAGTCACTGTTTTTTTTTTGAAAGCATTTGTAAGAATCTCAGAGGGGCTCGCTAATTTCTTGTTTAACGAATCATGAGGGCTTCTACTGTTTTATTTTTGAAAGTTTTAAAGAATCTCAGGAATCTCAAGACAGCCACTGATTTGTTTTTGAAAGAATTTGTAAGAATCTCAGGGGCACTCAAATAAGGATCTGGAGGGCTCCTTCTACTTTAGTTTGGAAAGAACTGACCTAGCTTGATTTTATTTAATCTTCGGTTTGTTTTTAAAAGAATTTGAAAGAATCTCAGGCTCAACTGGTGTTTTATTTTTGAAAGTTTTAAAGAATTTCAGGAATCTCAGGGGCAGTCACTCTTTTGTTTTTGAAAGAACTTGTAAGAATCTCAGAGGGGCTCGGTGATTTATTGTTCAACGAATCATGATGGCTTTTGCTGTTTTATTTTTGAAAGTTTTAAAGAATCTCAGGAATCTCACGACAGCCACTGTTTTGTTTTTGAAAGAATTTGTAAGAATCTCAGGGGCACTCAAATAAGGATCTGGAGGGCTCCTTCTACTTTAGTTTGGAAAGAACTGACCTAGCTTGATTTTATTTAATCTTCGATTTGTTTTTAAAAGAATTTGAAAGAATCTCAGGCTCAACTGGTGTTTTATTTTTGAAAGTTTTAAAGAATTTCAGGAATCTCAGGGGCAGTCACTGTTTTGTTTTTGAAAGAACTTGTAAGAATCTCAGAGGGGCTCGGTGATTTATTGTTCAACGAATCATGAGGGCTTTTGCTGTTTTATTTTTGAAAGTTTTAAAGAATCTCAGGAATCTCAGGACAGCCACTGATTTGTTTTTGAAAGAATTTGTAAGAATCTCAGGGGCACTCAAATAAGGATCTGGAGGGCTCCTTCTACTTTAGTTTGGAAAGAACTGACCTAGCTTGATTTTATTTAATCTTCGATTTGTTTTTAAAAGAATTTGAAAGAATCTCAGGCTCAACTGGTGTTTTATTTTTGAAAGTTTTAAAGAATTTCAGGAATCTCAGGGGCAGTCACTCTTTTGTTTTTGAAAGAACTTGTAAGAATCTCAGAGGGGCTCGGTGATTTATTGTTCAACGAATCATGAGGGCTTTTGCTGTTTTATTTTTGAAAGTTTTAAAGAATCTCAGGAATCTCAGGACAGCCACTGATTTGTTTTTGAAAGAATTTGTAAGAATCTCAGGGGCACTCAAATAAGGATCTGGAGGGCTCCTTCTACTTTAGTTTGGAAAGAACTGACCTAGCTTGATTTTATTTAATCTTCGATTTGTTTTTAAAAGAATTTGAAAGAATCTCAGGCTCAACTGGTGTTTTATTTTTGAAAGTTTTAAAGAATTTCAGGAATCTCAGGGGCAGTCACTCTTTTGTTTTTGAAAGAACTTGTAAGAATCTCAGAGGGGCTCGGTGATTTATTGTTCAACGAATCATGAGGGCTTTTGCTGTTTTATTTTTGAAAGTTTTAAAGAATCTCAGGAATCTCAGGACAGCCACTGATTTGTTTTTGAAAGAATTTGTAAGAATCTCAGGGGCACTCAAATAAGGATCTGGAGGGCTCCTTCTACTTTAGTTTGGAAAGAACTGACCTAGCTTGATTTTATTTAATCTTCGATTTGTTTTTAAAAGAATTTGAAAGAATCTCAGGCTCAACTGGTGTTTTATTTTTGAAAGTTTTAAAGAATTTCAGGAATCTCAGGGGCAGTCACTCTTTTGTTTTTGAAAGAACTTGTAAGAATCTCAGAGGGGCTCGGTGATTTCGTGTTCAATGAATCATGAGGATTTCTGCTGCTTTATTTTTGAAAGTTTTAAAGAATCTCAGGAATCTCAAGACAGCCACTGATTTGTTTTTGAAAGAATTTGTAAGAATCTCAGGGACGCTCGAATAAGAATCTTGACAGCTCCTTCTACTTTAGTTTGGAAAGAACTTGAAAGATCTGACCCAACTTGATTTGATTTAATCTGCGATTTGTTTTTAAAAGAATTTGAAAGAATCTCAAGCTCACCTGGTGTTTTATTTTTGAATGTTTTAAAGAATCTCAGGAATCTCAGGGGCGGTCACTGTTTTGTTTTTGAAAGAACTTGTAAGAATCTCGGAGGGGCTCGGTGATTTCTTGTTTAACGAATCATGAGGGCTTCTACTGTTTTATTTTTGAAAGTTTTAAAGAATCTCAGGAATCTCAAGACAGCCACTGATTTGTTTTT